AATTGAGTAACGAGGTAGAAAGCACTCAAACTGAATACGCCTACAAACTGAACACGGCTGAGGAGTTGAATCAGGGTCTAAGGAAATTAGTCACTGAAAATGTGGAGAAATTCAAGAGTGTTCAAAATGACCTAATCAATGCAGAAAGTGAGAAAGGTGCCATGTCAACCAACATCACCAATTTGAATGAGGAGATTGTGAAGCAGAAGAAGGAGATGGGCATGCAGCAGAGCAAAATGGATCAGTTGGAGAAGAGCATCAAAATCAATGAGCAGAATTTGGCAACAAAACAGACTGAAAACAGCGACCTGAAAAAGCAGCTTGAAAGTGAGCGAATGATTCAGGCCCAGTCTGGCGAGAGCTCCAAAAAGGAATTCAACAGGATGATCACAGCAAAGGAAACAGAAATATCAGAAATGAAAAACAGTCTCAAATTGGCAGAGGAGAACAATCAGGCCATGGCAAAAGAGGTGGATTCATTGAAAAATAGCACTGTTTCAATTGAGGAGGAAAATGAGAAGGTGAAATCAGAAATCCAAGACAAAATTGCCCAAATTACCCAAATGGCAAACAGCCTGGAAAAGAGCACCAAAGAGAACAAGGAGCTGAGAAACCAATTTGCCCTTGAAACTGAACAGTCATCAAAAATAGTGACCAGACTGAGAATCGAACTCAGGGAGAGTGGAAAGCTGGTAGAGGAATTGCAGTCCCAGGGTAACAAGGCCAAGAACACCGAATACGAGTTGTTGAGTCGACTTGAGGAGGCTGAGGCCGACCTGAAGCACGCAAAAGCAAAGTGCGACCAGGCCCAGTCGAGTTTTGCTGCCCTGGTCGCAGATACAACCAGATCACAGGCAGACGAGGCCACCCTGGCTGAGGCAGCTGCCCTCAGAGACAGAATGGCCAAGATGGAAGCACAAATCAGACGCCTGAAGGAGGACAAGGAGGAGATTGCGGCTGAAAACACCCAAATGGCCTCTGACAAAATGCAGTCTCTGATCAAACACGAGGCCGAGATGAAGACTGTCAGAAACAGCCTGACTCTCCAAATCAGCCGCCTGAAACAGGAGAATGCGAAGATGCAGGAGGAGCTGAATGCGTCAGATGACAGCCCTGATACGACCCTCCTCCTTGAAGAGCGTCGTAGAAGCATGGCCATCATTTCTGGCCTAGAACTCAAAAACATCGATTTGCTGTCCAAATTGGAGAGCATCGACGTCGATCACCTGGAACGTGAGGTCGATGACATCAGAAACAGTGTCACTGAAATACTACGAACATTCACAGGTGGAATCAGGGGCATCATCGAATCCGATCTACTGAAAATAGAGGATCTCCATTCGATAGAGCAGCGGATCTGTAACAGAATCAGGGCGGAATACGATGACAGAATTGCCAGACTGCAACGGGCCTATGACACCCTCGTATCCACCCTGAATGGACCCAATCAGCTGAATGATGCGAAAACGAGCATCCAGCGACTGAAGATCGAGCAACTTGAACGAAACTCCAAGCTGCAGCACAGCACCATTGAAATGATGAGCCAGGCCATGGTGTTCATGAAGAAGAAAAAGGGCGGATCAACCAGCAACAAAAGTGTAGGAGAATAAGAGAAGTGTCCAATTCAGGTGCCATTCAGAATATTTTTAGTCTCCTTCTTCACCCCAATGAAACAGCCAAATTCAGTCTTCTCCGATCTGATCGACCATCTCACAGTCAGAGCAGATTCAAGTCGCCTCTACAACCCATTGCTCCATCTCCCAGCCCATGACGTGGACGATGCCACCGCAGATGCAGTCATCTCCGAGTTCCTCAGACACATCGAGGCAAACAAGAAGAATAGGCCATTTGTGCCAGACCAAAGCAAGGACTCGTACACCGTGGCACAGATGAAGCAGATTGGAAGCAAGTTCGATCTAAGGAGATTCATGAAGTACAGAAAGGACAATATTGAGTGTAGGAGACTGTTGGTGCAGTTGGAGTGGCTAGGAAACATGTACAGTAGGGAAATGGAGGAGATCAATGAGTTAGAGAAGGGTGTGATTGGTAGTATCAGTGGAAGTAGTATCACTACTAGCAGCAATACCATCAATAGTGACAATAATGATGATATTGTAACCAGGGTGGAAAACAGTGCATTTCTGCTGGATCTGCCTGAAATGACCAAGCCAAGTCACACGCCAGTACGAAGCAAGGGGGTAGAGTGTGTGATTGGTATCATAAAGAGAAGGAGAAGGAATCTCCTACTGATTGAGGAGATACAGAGCAGTATTGTGGGCGTAATAGAAGAAGGAAGAGAACTAGGGGAGTTTATCAAAAGAGTCATAAAGAGGGGGTAGTATTGTTATTAGAGTGGTAATATTAAATATAGTATGGTACTGTTATTATTATTATTAGAGTGGTAGTAATATTATTATTATTAAAGTGGTAGTAATATTAGTGTTATTGTTAGCTACCAATATTACTAGCTACTGTCATTATTAGCTACCACCTTTATTACTAGCTACTGTTATTATTAGCTACCAATATTACTAGCCACTCTTCCCTGTATTCCTCCTTCTTTCTACCTTCTTTATTTCCCCAATGCTTCCTTCTACCATCAGGTGCTTCTGCAACTCCTTGGCAACACGCATGCACTCTCCTACGTTGAATGATCCATCTGGAATCAGGTAGTCCACCCTGCTATGGGCAGAATGCACCCACTTTTCAGTAGCAGGCCAGACGTACTCATCCAGTCGCACATCAAGTGACTCAGTCTCAGCAGTCGTATTCCTCTCAGCCTGGTCTCTCTTGGCTCTCAGCTCCTTCACCCTCTTCT